TTTTTTTTTAAGAAAAGCCACATTTTAATTACTGGTTAATATTTTTTGTATCATGGAATATTTCAATATGCTTAACAGAAAAGGACAAAATAGGGTATGAATTCCCATGTACACATGAACCCAGTTTCAGCAATTATCAAGCCAGGGCCGGTTTTGTTTCTACCTTATCTCTCTACCCATTAACTACCTCCTGTATTAATTTGAAGCAAACCTTAGATGTCATTCATTTCTTCTGTCAGTATTTAGGAATTTACTTCTAAGAGATAGGGACCCTTTAAAAAAAGATAAAATCACAATACCATTGTCATGCCTATAATATTTTAACACTAATACCTTAATTTTACCAAATATCCAGTCAGTGTCCAAAGTTACATACAGTGTTTGAATCAGAAGCCCAACAAGGCCTCACTTAAACTATTTATCAATATATCTCTCAAATCTCTTTGCATGTGTAAGTCCCCTTAGTTCATTTGTGCTGGTCTAATAAAATACCTGAGTCTGGGTAATTTGTAAATAATAGAAAAGAATTTCTTCATTATGCACAACTATAATGTGCCAATAAAAAATGCGGAAGAGATATTCGGGTTATTCTGCAGATCGTATAAATCTTTTGCCTTTTACTAAAGATTTTCTTGGAGAGGAACAACAACAACAAAAAAAATGTGGGAGAAAAAGAAATGAATTTCTTGCAGACCTGGAAGGTGGGAAGTCTGTGATCAAGTCCCTGGCAGGCTTAATATGTGGTTAGAGGTGTTTCTGCTTCCAAGATGGTACCTAGTTGCTATATCCTCACATGGCAGAAGACAGAAGGGAAAGTGGGAGGAACACTGTTTCCCTCCGCCCATATTTTTAAGGTTGCTAATCCCACCGCTTGACTTAATCACCCACTAAAGTGGTGAAACTTAATCTGCTTCTTAAGTTTCAATGTGTGAATTTTGGAGAAGACAGAAATAGTCAAGCCATAGCATCCCTTTGTGGCTCTCTATTTTTTTTTCCTTATACTTTGTTGAAGGAACTATGTAGCTTGTTCTCTATGGATTCTTACAATCAGGGTTTTGCTAACTGTCTTCTCTAGTAGTATTAACATATCTCTCTGTCCTCTTCATATCTTGAAATGTTGTTGGATACAAAGGAATAAATGTTTTAATTGAAAAAAAAATTTTTTGGTTCTTTCTTTTTTAAAAATATTTTATTTTGGTTGTAGAGAGATGCAATACCTTTGTTTATTTATGTGGAGCTGAGGATCGAACCCAGGGCCCCACACATGAGAGGCAAGTGCTCTACTGCTGACCCCCAGCCCCAGCCGCAGATTTTTTTTTAAATTTAATTTTTTAAATTTACATATAACAGCAGGATGCATTACAATTCTTGTTACATATAAGACAGCACAATTTTTCATATCTCTGATTATATACATAGTATATTCACACTGATTCATGTCTTCATACATGTACTTTGGATAGTAATGATTATCACATTCCACCATCGTTAATTACCCCATTCCCCCTCCCTTCCCCTCCAATCCCTCTGCCCTACCTAGAGTTCGTCTATTCCTCTCATGCTCCTGTTCCCTATCCCACTAGAAATTAGCCTCCTTATATCAAAGAAAACATTCAGACTTTGGTTTTTTTGGGGGGGATTGGCTAACTTCACTTAGCATTATCTTCTCTAACTCTATCCATTTACCTGCAAATGCCATGATTTTATTCTCTTTTATTGATGAGTAATATTCCATTGTGTATATATGCCGGTTTTTTAAATCCATTCATCTCTCTTTCTTAAATTTTTATTGTTGGTTGTTCAAAACATTACATAGTTCTTGATATATCATATTTCACACTTTGATTCAAGTGGGTTATGAACTCCAATTTTTACCCCGTATACAGATTGCAGCATCACATCGGTTACACATCCAACATGTTGCCATACTAGTGTCTGTTGTATTCTGCTACCTTTCCTATCCTCTGCTATCCTCCCTCCCCTCCCCTCCCCTCTTCTCTCTCTACCCCATCTACTGTAATTCATTTCTCCCCCTTGTTTTTTTTTCCCTTACCCCTCACTTTCTCTTGTATGTAATTTTGTATAACCCTGAGGGTCTCCTTCCATTTCCATGCAGTTTCCCATCTCTCTCCCTTTCCCTCCCACCTCTCATCCCTGTTTAATGTTAATCTTCTTCTCATGCTCTTCCTCACTACTCTGTTCTTAGTTACTCTCCTTATATCAAAGAAGACATTTGGCATTTGTTTTTTAGGGATTGGCTAGCTTCACTTAGCATAATCTGCTCTTATGCCATCCATTTCCCTGCAAATTCTATGATTTTGTCATTTTTTAATGCAGAGTAATACTCCATTGTGTATAAATGCCACATTTTTTTTTTATCCATTTGTCTATTGAAGGGCATCTAGGTTGCTTCCACAGTTTATCTATTGTGAATTGTGCTTCTGTAAACATTGATGTGGCTGTGTCCCTGTAGTATGCTGTTTTTAAGTCCTTTGGGTATTGATTGAGGAGAGGGACAGCCTAGCCCCAGATTTTAGCAATAATTTTAAAAGGGTCTTGAGTAATGTTGGTTTGAATTTATAAAGGTAGTTAATTAAACACTGTTCAATTATAATTTTGAAGTCTTTAGGGCTGGCAAACTATAGCATGTTGGGCCTACCATCTGTTTTTGTAAATAAAATTTTACTGAAACATAGACATGCACATTCATTTATATATTTTATTGTTTGTGACTGCTTTCCCAATATAATGACAGTAGTTGTGAAGAAGACCCTTTGGCCCATAAAGTCTAAATTATTTACAATGTGTCATTTTAAGAAAAAGTTTGCTGACCTCTACAAAGCACTTGTACATTTTATATGATTTAACAATATTGTTTCCTTTTTAGGTACTTCATTTATCAGACTATCTCTGCAATTATTCATTCTTAATAAAGCTAATCAATTACAGTTGCAATATGGTAAACTTTAGGTTTCTTAGATGTCCTGGAACTCTGCATAAGCTTCATCCAGATTTCAACTTACAACCAGAAATCTATACTAGTTATTTGATTACCTACTTTAAATTGTTCGTGTAAGGAGTCTCATGCTAAATTCTCTTACACATTTATAATATACAAAATACCTAGTATGTCCAAATTACAGAAACATTATTATTATGGTTTAGATTTCTTAAGCCTTTCATATTAATTCTTAGGTTTCTGGAATGGAAAAATAGGAAGTATCAGGAAAGACTGTTAACATCAAGTTATCTGAAGTGAAGGCAGATACTACATGGATCAACTGAGATAATTTACAGCCAGAGATTTTGACAGAACCTGATATTTAGTTGCAGAAATGTAGAGGATTACTGTCCCTACTATCCTACTAAGCCCCTTTTTGTAAATACTATGTCAGGGACTTGGAAGCTGAATGTGTTGATTTTGGACTCACACAACCCAATTCTCATGCAGGTGTGCACCTATGCAGGGGTTCATTCATCACTTGATTAGATGATTAGATGCACATCTATGATTTCTGACATTTTATCTAACTCTGAAGATCACTGAGCTCCTTGGAATCCAAAGGAAAATATCACCATCTATTTTCACTTGCAAATTCTTCAGTATGAATCTCTAATACTTAAGAAAGTTAAAAAGACATTTTTGTGCCATTTGTCCTTTGGTACATGTAAGAAAATTATCAATAATCTCTTGATGTCATATAATAAATACTCTATCCACCTTCTTTATGTTTTTGTCTTAAAAATGTTGGGATGTAGTTTAGTGGTAAAATGCTTGCCTAGCATTAGCATGCAAGAGGCCCTGGGTTGCAGCCTCCAGCACACACACACACACCAAAAAAAAAAAAAAAAAAAAAAAGGTCTTTCTTCATTTTGTCCAATCAGAATCACAAGGCCACATTTCATGCTTAGGACAAAACACTTGCTGCTCTGCCATGGCGGCCTATTTTAAAACGGACATTTTTCCTCCCCTTTCTCTTCTCCCTCTCCCTAACCTTGTGGGAGCAAGATTACCCTTCTTCCCATCCAAGGCTGAGTTATCTGTCCTTGAGCAAACACACACCACAGGAATGAAGCAATTCAGATTTTGAGGATGGCGCCAGAAGACCTAACAAAATGCTATCTTTCAGGGCCACAGGTGATTTACTTCCCCTGACAAGGTGCACCTGGAATATAGCCTTTGACTCACCTCTTTAAAAGCCCTCTGTTTCCCCTGCTGGATAGAATCACAGACTCTGGGGACAGGAGTCCCCTGTGTTTCTCCTTTGCTAGCAAAGTAATGAAACATCTTTTTCCATGTTTGCAAAATCATGTTTTCCTTATTGGGCTGGCATTGGAGACAAGGGTGGAACTTTGGCTAACACTCTCAAAAACACAGATTTGCTAAAGAAATCCAATCATAAGCTTTCCATGATTTCCCTCATTTTGGATTTGGCTGATTGCTTCTAGGTGGTATGAAGGCTGTTAATTTTCCTTTATTCCTGTATTTTTAGTAGCGGACTTGATTAGATTTGAAGTCAGCACCCCCTCGCCCCCCCACAAGAATACTTCATAGGCAGGCAAATGTATTTCCTATTACAGAACGTTGAACTGGACGGGCCCTAGCATTCTTTCGTACTTCTGGGGTCTTTAAAATGGCAACCTGATTTAAGTGTTGACATCTCGACAGTCACAACTCACACAGCTTTCATTAAGTAAATTTCATTCATTTACTCTCTCGGTATTCTGCAGGTAACGAAACTAAAGTTTAGAGCATTTGATTCATCCGACCCCGTTGACAAAATGACTTTGTACGTTTAAGGAGGAATTAGAATTCCGATTTCCTAGTCCCTTCCCGGTCTGAGCGCCTCCATTTCAGGCTCTCACAGAAGCCTGAGGGCACCAACCAGCAGGAAGGAAGCCCTCTTTCCCGGTCCCCTCCTGCAGGCACCTCGCTTCTCTTGTCCCGCCCCACAAGGTCTGAGGTCGAGTCCCGGCGAGCCCCAGGGAAACCACACTTCCCAGAGTGCACTGCGACCGGTGGAGTCCTCCAATCGGCGCTCGCCGGCAGGGGCCACTTCCGTAGAGAGGAACGGCGGAGCGGCCTGTGTGCATGGCGCTGTTCCCAGCCTTTGCGGGCGTTAGTGAGGCCCCCGATGGTGGGGGTTCCAGGAAAGGTGAGCACACAAAAATGTTGAAGAAAGCACCCGGCGAGGTTAAGGCCAGTCTCTTGGGCCCGGGTCGCGTGTATTGTCTTAGGTTTGTTTATCCGTTTGTATCCCAGAGTTCTCCGCGCGTTGCAAAGCCTTCTGGGAAGGGCCCCGCGCTCTGCCCGGGGTGTGGGGCTCGAGGGCGCCTTCGGGGGCGAGGGTTGTCGAGTTTTGGAAGGAGGAGGAAAGACGGAAAAGAGGCTATGGAGCTAGGACCAAGATATTGTCGGACTTCTTTCTTTCTCGTAGCTTCACTTCACCTTTAAAATGACGGTGCTCCACATTGTAAAGAGACTCCCGATGCAAATGCTGGATGTTCTTACGTATTTCCACCTTTAATGTTCTATTTATTTGTAAGATACTTGTTGAATTTCTGTCTTTTGGCAGACCTAGAGCTACGGATTGGAATCCAAAGACTAATCAGGTTCTTTCCAAATGGACGTAGCTAGTCGTGAAAAGAATAAAATGTTCTTGAGAGTTTACTGTGTGTCTCGTTGTAGCCCTACATTATTTTGTTTAAGCCTTAAACATCTGAAGAGGGATGCATTGTTAAAAATTGAGACACACAGTGAATTTATTTAAAAAACAATCCTTCACTGGACACCGAGGCGCTCGCCTTAATCCCAGAGGCTCAGGGAGGCAGAGGCAGGAGGACCAAAAGTTCAAAGCCAGCCTCAGCAATTTCTCGAGGCCCTAAGCAATTTAGCAGGACCATATGTCAAAATTTAAAAAGGCCTGGGGATGTGGCTTAATGATAAGCCTCCGGGTTCAATTCCTGATACCAAAAGGAAAAAAAGAAAAATTAAAAAAAAGGACAATCCCAAGTCATGTACTTCATGTGAAAGGGCCCAATTGTGTGTAAGATGTGTCAAAAAAATTACAGCAAATTTAAAGATCTTATTTGGCTTTTATTCCCGAATTTATAGTCAGGTAGCACTCAGAACCAGAATAGGTCCAAAGAACTCCTGATATGCAACTGGTCAGAAACATTTATGGATAGAAAGTGGAAGTGAGGTACAGCCACAACTTAAATGGTTACAGCTCATTGTTTTATCTTATTGGAGTCAACTGCTCCCTGCAGGTGACTTAACTGAGCTACTGTGATTGACTAAGATTCAAATATTTGTTAGAAGAGTGTACTCTTTACTCCTAAATTAGATTGTTCTTTGGCCTACCAAGGCAGGTTATAGTTTACCATATAAGGATGCACATATCTGAGGCATTTTTAGCTTAAACTTAATTTAACACACCTCTTTCTATCATCTCTTAACTCCTGCACTTCTCTTTTTGTAACAGTTCTTAACATTTGTATTTCTTATGTGGTTAATGTAATCCTTATTAGACTGTAATCAATAAGGCCAGGGAAATTGTCTCTGCATTGTAGTATACTTAGCTAAGCCACTTAGCCATTTGCTAGTAACTAAGAATACAGTAAGTGTTAAATAAATATTTGCTAGAATTACTCAGAATTAATGTGGAATAAGGGAACCTAAAAAATAACAGTACAAAGTAGGATGTTGTAGACGTCAGAGGTGAACCATAGCAATAACAACTTCTAACGGAAGATTCAAAGAAGGCTTTTTATTTTTATGTAGGAGCTAACTTTGGGACCGTCCTCAAGAGAGTAGGATTTGGACAAGTAGAGGTTGTGGAAGAATATTCCAGAGTCTTGAAGAACCTGAGGAGGAAAAGCATGAGACTTGTGCATAGAACTGCAAAATAATCCAGTTAGTGTGGAAATATGATTGGGCTGGTGATAAGGGAGTATAGTGACCTTTAAACAAGATGAGGGTGTATTTTATTTTGGGAGGGAAATTGAAGGTTTATTTATTAAAGGTTTATCTTAACCAGTATTTATTGTACATGCTCTGGGTATCCAGCATCAGATAATGTATGGAAAAGTGCTTTTCATAAAATATTTTTAAAAAATTTAAACACTAGATTATCACTTATAGTGAGATTAACTGTAATTTCTTAGTATCATTTAGTTATGAATCAGTGTTCAGTTTTCCCAAGGTGTCTTCATATGGCCTTTTATACTTGGTTTATTTAATCAGGATCCAGAAGTCAGGCTCTACATTGCATTTTATGAATATGTCTATTTCAGTATAAAACAATTTCTTCATATCTTCTTTATTCTCAGGTGACACTTTTTTGTAAAGGAAACTGGGTTATTTGTCTTGAAGACATTTTCCACCACATCTTCATGATGTCATTTAATGCTTTTCTGTTTCTTATAAGCTGGTAATTAGATCTAGAGAACAATTAGATTCAGGAATAATCTCTTTTGTGGAAAACACCTTGTACTTGATATTATATTGGGAAGGTATGCTATATAGTTTTCTCTTTTAGTGATAGTAAGATTTCACTGGTCTGGTCCAAAATAGGGATGGGGATGAGGCTCAGTGGTTGAGTGCCCCAGAGTTCAATCCCCAGTACTAAAAAAAGAAAGATTTCACTGGTGGATTCATTTATTTGCAACCTCTTTCTTTCTTTAGGAAGCTGCCCATCAACCTTTCACCTAATGATTTTTGCAATCACCAGTTGTTAACTGGTTATTTTCTAGTTTTTTCTTTACTCCTATATTAGCATCGTCATTCCTTAGAGACTCTTGAGGTACCATAAAATATGATTCAGGCAAGATTTGACAGTTTGAATACTTGATTCATTTCCTTTGTCAGTTTGCAGAATGAAAAGTTGGGTCCTGGTAACTACTAGAGGTTACCATTGAGTTTTTGTGTTTCATTATTAACTCATGAATAATAATAATAATAATAATAGTAATAATAATAATAATAATTATTATTGTTTTTGTACCAGGGATTGAACCCAGGGTTGCTCAATCACTGAGTCACAACCTCAGACCTTTTTTATTTTATTTAGAGACAGAGTCTTGCTGTGTTGCTTAGGGCCTTGCTAAGTTCCTGAGATTGGCTTTGAACTTGGAATCCTCCTGCCTCAGCCTCCTGAGCCACTGGGATGATAGTTGTTCACCACTTCACACAGCCCAAATTATTATTTTAAAAATCACTTGAAATAATTCTTTTGAGTGGCTTTGCTACCACTTTTTAAAAATTTTTAAATTTTTAGGTGGATACAGTATCTTTATTTTATTTTTATGTGGTGCTGAGGATCGAACCCAGTGCCTCACAGGTGCTAGGAGAGCGCTCTATACCACTTGAGCCACAATCCCAGCCCTTTGCTATCACTTTTGATACATAGATATGTTGGTTATATTTTCAGTTTTTAGGGAATGCTTTTTCTTCTTTTTCATTTAATCTTGTTCTATAATGATGGTACATATTATAAAGATGAAAATATAAATCAGTTATATTCAGAGAAAGAAAGCTTCTGGATCCTGATTAAGTAAACCAAGTATAAAATTCTTTTCCTTCCCCCACAAGTTAACATTTTCCATAGGTCAGTGTTATCCTTCCATTTTTTCTGCCTTAATGTAACTAACTACATTTGCCTTCTCTTTCCTAACCACTTAACTATTCTGTATTTTATCTTAGATCCAGAAGATGGCTCTTATAGCAAAGTGTAGAGAGCTTCCTTATTGGTGTCCCAAACTCCATTGTGTGAATGGCAAATGCTTTATTCAGCCAGTTTTCAATAAAGACATTTGGACTGCTTCTAGTGTTTCACTATTATAAGTGGAAGCACTGTGATTTTTGCCTTACACTATAAAATATTATAAAAAAGATGTAAGCTTAGGAGTAGTGGTAAAGAGGTCCAGTGGTGGGGGAAGCAAAATATTTAACTCTTGGACAGGAAAGACAAGTAGTACCAAAAAGAATGAGAGGGACTCTGCTCTCCACTGTTGAGGTATTGTGAAGAGTGAGGCCAGCATTTGAGTAGGCATCACATTCAGTAGAGGGTCTGGAGGGATGTGTTCAGCACCACTTTTCCTTTGAACAAAGAGGAATGCAGAGTAGCCACTGGTCAGGAGCAGCAGAGAGCCCCCAGTTTCAGATTCCTCCAATTCTCAAACACTTCTTTGTATCCTTGGATTGTTTATTAAGATTGTGTACCTTAATCATTGTTGCTTGTGAGTAAAATATGTGGACAGAGTTGGGATGGAAGGTGGCGAGTCAGTTCATGGGAAGCAAGTGTACTACCCTTATTTGGGGAAGAAACTGAAGTTATTATCCCCAAACTCGGTTCTTTCTGTGACCACATATATTAGAAAATGGTGCTGCCATTCACCCAAACCCAAACTTAATTGCTTACCACAACTCTCCCTGTGCCCCATTCAGTTCTTCAGTTTATTAGTTTCTTTCTGTTTCCACTACCACTACCTAATTTTTGCCATACTCATTTCCTGGGTTACAATAACCTCCTAAAATAGTCTTTCCTTCACTCCCTAAATCACTCTTCACAATGTAGCAAGAATTTTAAAATGTATTTACTGAGTTTACTTAAAAACACATTGGTTGTGGCTCAATGGCAGAGTGCTTGCCTAGCACTGTGAGTCCTGGGGTTTGATCCTCAGCACCACATAAACATAAATAAATAAAATAAATAAAATAAAGGTATTGTGTTCATTTGCAACTAAAATATATATATGTATGCTTTATTCAGCCAGTTTTCAATAAAGACATTTGGACTGCTTCTAGTGTTTCACTATTATAAGTGGAAGCACTGTGATTTTTGCCTTACACTATAAAATATTATAAAAAAGATGTAAGCTTTTAAAAATCACTTGAAATAATTCTTTTGAGTGGCTTTGCTACACATTGCCACTCATTGGTCTAAATACTCGACAAATACTAACTAACTCATCTCAACAAATACTAACTCATTGACCTCTCATAACAACCTTATGAAGTTGGTGCTGTTCTTTGCATTTTTATGGATGAGGAAATGGAAGCCAAAGCCAGAATAACTTGCCCATGGATTGGAACTCAGGAGGTTTAGCTTCTAAGTACCTGCTCTTCTTTTGAATACCACATCTGATTTTGTCA